TGTCCTTTCTCTCTCTCTCTCTTAAAACAATTTTAATCAAACCAAAAAAGAAAGAAAAAGAGAAAAAGCAGTCTTAGAAACTTCCAGCCTTGTGACGGTTTTATTTTTTATCATTAACCGACCTGTCGTTGATATGATTCTGTCTGAATTGCTTATTTGATCACGTTCGATGTCCACCGTTTCTATATCCGCTGAATTTTTAAACACACACCAAGTCGGCTTTGTCCACTGTACCCTCTTCGGAGTTTTAGATTTTACATTTACGTTTCCACGGACCACGTTTATTACCACCGTTTATGACCATACCATAATTTAGAACGGTCCGAAATAAAAATTCCGGTTCCGAAAATAACGGATAACAGTGGCATCGTCCGTACGTGGAAGAGAAAACTAATCACACATCGAACATGCGATCAGATATATCAGGCAAGAAATCTTGCAAGTAAGCAACATGTAAATGTGTATCTCGACAGTCACGCGAAAATGCTGCTAGATGCATTTACATCTGCTTTGCTTTAAATCTTCAACATCCAGAATAATAGGAACTGCACTGCGAGACGTCGCAATTCGAGTATAATATTCATTTACATCCTTAGAATGAATGTGATTTTCTTTATTTTCTTTACTAACGCAGACCTCGATTGTCTTACGATCAAGCGTAATTCATTATTCTGGATCGTCCTTAATGCGTTGTAGCCTAGGCTGCGTCTGTTCTAGGTCTGTCTTAACTTGAAAGCAAATCGACATATAGCATCAGTACAGCTTTTGTGAGATTATGTATTTCGTTCCATTTTTGTATTGTAACAATTTCATGTGCGTTAATTGCACAGCTTTGGAGATTAAAAGAGACAGACAAGCACAAACACACAGTAGCGCGTCATAAGTGTACCGGGTGTTTCTGTAGATTAGAGTCGAGTTCTAAAGTTGTTCTAAGATGTGCACAGTTTTCCTTGAAACACATGAATTATGGCTTTTTTTTTTAATTATTGCGACAGGTATTAACGTCTAGGAAAGAGTAATCGATAAACACCCGGTAATATTGATATGGGCTAATACTATTAGGGGCACTAGGCACGAGGCTGGGAGGATAGCTAAAGCCCACACAAAGCAATCGAAGAATAGTTTAGGCTGTCTTATCTCCAGAAGAGCCAGTGCATCTATTACGTATATTAAATCGTAGTTTTTAAAATGTTAATCCTGTTCAACAGGCTAGAGCTACCTCGCTGCAGAGCTGTGTTATGGTTATCCGTATAATGCGCGACCTGTGTAATCGTGTGCCAACATGGGGTCCGTTAAATCCTTGGGTTAGTATACGTGACATATTAATTACTTCCATTAATTATTCGTTTGTTGTCATGATTTTTCGATTCTCGATAATTCGTTTTTCAATATATACAGGCATTGGAATTATTGACTGAGAAAGTGATTAGCACCGCGGGAGGTCCTCTTAGTCCGGGTGAAGCCTTAAGAAGACTTCTAGAATGCGTAGCTGGAGGAATATTGTTACCGGGTAGTCCAGGTAATTTCTAAAATTTATTTTGTTGTTTCATACCACCATGTTTCGATATTTTAATTTTTCCATCTTCAAATGATGAAAAAGATGACGAGACTGAGCGTATTGTAGAATTGATTTTTGAACTCGAGTACAAGTTTTTTGTTCTCCTGTATCATAATTATATCTTCCGATATGCGCAGATGATATGGCAATCTGATAAAAATTTTAACTGTACTGTTGATCAAAAGATAACGTACAGAAATCAATGTTGATTCATAATCTCTTCGTTTTAGGATTATCCGATCCATGCGAGAAAGAGCCAGTTGATGCAATAGGAAACATGACGTCCCAGCAGAGAGAAGATATTACTTCGTCGGCGCAGCACGCTTTACGATTAGTGGCATTCCGCCAGATTCACAAAGTCCTAGGTATGGAGCAATTGCCGCCGCCGAAATTCAAAGGACGATTCGCTCGAAAACGAAGACGCGATAACAGCAATGGAGAAGGTACCGATAGCGAGGCTTCGAAGAAGGATAAAAAGGCGGAAGAGATCAAAATGGAAACAGATTCCAAATAGAAGATCTACCAAAAGATTCGTACTTGCAGTACGAATTATCTATTAACTTATCTAGTATAAGGAAGCAGTTTCTTTTCCCGCCGTGTCAGTTGCTTGTTTAGGAGGAGAGATATCTTCGGATAAGGACAATTTGAAACTAGGCTGATGCTTATCACGATTTTTTAGAATATGCGTAATCTGAGGAATGATAAAATTATTAAAAAGACGCGTTTATTAAACAACAGCGGACGCTCTTTGTCTCTACGTCTCTTGTGAGTCGTTTATAGCAATGGATTTATTTCCTACGATGTATTTAATCTGTAATAAGCGTGTCACAAAACGAAGGTAGCGTTATTATTGAGGAAAGCTTGAATTGACCGCTAATTTTTTCAGACGGATAGGATTCTGTTAATTCTGATATTAGATTTGTCTCGACGAAACAGACGGACGCGTTCACAGAATTTGAATCAGCTAGACTGATTAACCATTTATCAGTTATGAAAGATACACAAATAAGAAGAATTCAAATGAACGTGTAGTAAGACGACGAACGTTTATAAGTTTGAAGTTAAAGAGTAGGCAATAGATTGTATTGAGATTTTGTGTGTATGTGTGTGTGTAGTCAGTACGTGTAGGAAATACTATATCCTTTCTCTCTCTCTCTCTCTCTCTCTCTCTCTCTCTCTCTCACTTCTGCACAAAGTGACAACCATTTACGATATATTGTCACATATGTGACTCACGCAAAAAATAGCGCCAATATATTTATAACTCGATGATTTGGATGCTTGATGATTATCCAATGCGGAGAAAGTGCACGTGTTAGCATTTTTTTAACACACAATACTATAAATTAATTTCATTTACAGAATTTCAAGCGAAGTCGAGTTAAAACTTTGACGTTTCAATTTTTAAACATTACCTCCTCATTTAAGTGAATTTATTCTGACTTGTGTAGACTTTCTGTTTTTTTGAATGATCATTGAATAAAACAAACATGTGTACAACGCAACTGTGAACTTTTTGATACTTCTGACTGAAAGAATTGACAGTTTCCTTGATATTACTTTTCCTTTCCTTTTCCAACTTCAATGTTTTATTCACGAAAAGCTCAAGTAATATGTACAAAGTAATTCGAATTTAAAGATAAAAGCCAATAGTGTACACGCGCGATTTATTTTTTAGTTATTATTTTTCGAATCTGCAAGTCTATTATGTATCTGAAATAAAATAAAATTTACAAAAGCGAGCAAATATATTTATCAGAATATTTATAATTTCATTAGTCGACACTTGATGAGCTATTCACTTCTATAATTT